AATTCATAGTGTGGTAAATGATAACACAATAATAACTGATGATTTCACAACAAGAATGTTCCATCAGATATCATAAGTTTTGTTTGAATAGGTGAAAAGTTCTCAATTCAGAAAATTTCGGTAGTTCAGCTTGTCGCTCAATTTAGTTCTTCAAAACTTTCTCATAAATATTTCGTGAAATATATTCAAAATAATTTTTGATGTTGCATTTTACAAACTCTTTTCAGAAGCTTTCCCTTACATCTGCACGGCCCGAGCATGGACACTCATGGCTGGATTTTCATTGGCTTTTGGTGCAATGTTCAGTAAAACTTGGCGGGTACATTCGATTTTCACAGACGTGAAGCTGAACAAAAAAGTTATCAAGGATTACCAGTTGTTCATGGTTGTTGGGGTCCTTCTGTTTATAGATTTGGTTATTATGACAACGTGGCAGGTTGCCGATCCATTTTATAGGGACACTAAGCAGATGGAGAGATATGTAAGTTTTGTTATGCTGATAACGTTTTTTTATTAATTTCAATATACCTATAGCCTCATCCCTCTAACGAAGATATTATCATCATTCCCGAGAACGAGTATTGTGCTTCAGAACACCAAACTCTTTTTGTTGGATCTATTTATGCATATAAAGGACTTTTGATGGTGAACCACCGACATCAACAAATGGAGAATTGGATAAATAACATTAATTTTCAGATATTTGGAGCATTTTTGGCTTGGGAAACCCGCCATGTTTCTATACCTGCACTGAACGATAGTCGACACGTTGGTTTATCGGTCTATAATGTTGCCATAATGTGTATATGTGGAGCTGCGGTCGCCTTGGTTCTTGTCGATCACCAAGATGCGATGTTTTTGATTATAGGTAGGTAAATTTGATCTGATGTTCGTGATGAGAATAGTTAGATAGTTACTGTTTTCAATCAAAACGAAATATTTCGTCATACCTTCGCACATGGATTTTAGTGGTGTATTCCCAAAGTGTTTCTTTTTACTCGAATACGTATATTACTGACCAAAATAACAGTTTTTAGATGTGACGGAAGCTGTGATTGTTATAGCTATACAGAACAGACATAAAATAGCCCCACATTTAACTTTTGAATGGGGCATGATATCAAATTCGGACAAAATTTATATAAAAACGAAGCATTTTTAGTAATGTTTCACAAAAAAGCTAATGGTGTGATATCACTCGCCGCAGGGTAATGTCAAATAGAAAGGAGGTCTTGTGATATTTCACTCGAAAGGTATTTCAATTCTTCATACAACGACTTTCATCGTTTTGAATTTGGATAACAGATTACGGAGATTAGGAAAAATGATAATTCGTTACTTTGCAACCCATAGAGTATTGAAACAGTTCCAAACTTATGTGAAGGTGGTTGACAATGTTTCGTGGTGTATTTCATCTGTTCGGTCTTCCATTGTCTAATATAATATAAATTGATTTGATAACCCTGAAAAAAATCAAACAGATTAACCGAAAATAACAATTTTATTAAACAAAAAACTGAAATTACAAAGAAATAACATACAACAACCAAACAAATAAAAATTGAAATATAAAAGCTGAAAAAATTGAAAAAATTAAAAATATTATTAAAAAAATTAAAAAATAAAAATTAAAAGATTTCAAACCAAGTTATGTCA